ATATTTCGAATACTTTGCTTAAACCGGGGTTATTGGATTATTCGGTGTCTATGGGACAAATCCGCGAAGATTATGGGATCAAGAACTTTGAATATGGCAAATTTGCCAGTTCAGCGGATGCGCGTTATGGGATTAACGACTGGCTCACGGCTGAAGGACGAGTTGAACTCTCCGATTCAATTCAGTTGGTTGGGCTAGGTTCAGTGTTTAAGTTGAATCAGTTTGGGGTGTTAAGTGGTTCGGCAACTCAAAGTTGGGCAGACCGTGAATTTAATCGGATCAATAGCCAAAATATCAAGGGAAATCGATATACTTTAGGCTATAGCTATAACCAGCAACGCTTTGGATTTAGTCTCAATCATACCCAACGTGATCAGGATTATTATGATCTTTCACGCTTGCAATATAGCAATTTGGTCTCAGCCAACAATCATAAAAGTTCGGTTGCCAACACGTATTTTGCCACAGATAAATCAGGGACTTTTGGGGTGGCCTATATCGGAGATTCTTGCAGAAGATGGCAAAAATATTCCTTTGGCATCAGAAGCAAGTACATTTCTGAATGAGGAAAAGTTTAAAGGCTTGATCTGGGCAGTGGTAGATGTAGGTGATTATCTAGATAAAGTGAGAAAGATAATACAGGTGAAGAGGTGTAGTCCTGAATAGATTGTTCAGAAATAGGTTCAAACACAACACATATTAATATGTTAACTATTTCACATTTTAATTGGAAAAAATATTTATATGATTTTTAACATTAAAAAAATTGAATATTGTAAAGAAAAATAAAATATTTATTCCTTAAACTCATATGTAAATATAATTATTAATTGTCTTGAGAGTATCTTTTGGCAAATGTTGGTTAGTGGAAATTCTAAATTTAAGCCAAATATCCGTTAGTAAAATAGTAGCTAAAGCATGGCTAATCCTTGATCTTTGGACTTTGTAATGGGATGGAGGTGAGTTGTGATATCGCCGTTTTCTTGCCTAAATTTCCAAAAACACACAGCAAATTTCCTGATCAAATGACATAGAGTGATGGTTTATCTGCACGTGACTAATTCAAAATTTAAGGTGAAATAATGTGAATTTTGTTTTTATGTAAAAAATTTACAAAAAAAAATACTTTAAATAAAACTGAAATATGAATGTAATAAATATTTAATATATTGAAATATATAATAAAAATATTTTTCTCAAAAAATACGAATTTATATACGCTTGTATCTATTCATTATAGAAAGTGTGACTTTGTTTACATTTTTGTCTCAGTGTGCATAATACCCATCGACCAAAACGAATCATTTTTTTTGTCTGTATAGGATACTTGGTATGAAAAATATTTTTTTAGCAACATCAGTTTCAATTTTAGCAATGTCTAGCGCTTTCGCAGCAGATGGTACAATCACAATCAACGGTTTAGTAACTGACAAAACTTGTGATATCGTGACTCCACAAGGTAAAGATTTCACAGTAACGCTTCCAACAGTTTCTAAGCAAACTCTTGCTAAAACTGGTGATATCGCGGGTCGTACGCCATTCACAATCAACTTGGCTAACTGCTCTGAAGGCAAAGTTGCAACTTATTTTGAACCAGGTTCAACAGTTGATTTTGGTACTGGTCGTTTAAACAACACAGATGCAACTGGCGCGAAAAACGTTCAAGTTCAATTGTTAGGTTCAAATAACCAATTCATTCCTGTACTTGCTGCTGGTGCTTCTGGCGCGCAAACTAACTCTCAATGGGTAGATGTTGCGGACAAAGGTGCAGCTGATCTTAATTACTATGCTGAATATTATGCAACTGATGCATCTGCTGCTGGTAAAGTAACAACGTCTGTTCAATATACTATTATCTATCAATAATTTTTTATTGAATGGTACGGAGCTAGGTTGTCTAGCAACCTAGCTCTTTTACTTTATTTTAGATATAGAGATAATCGTTATGTTCTTGAATCATTCCTTTCTTAAAAAAGGTTTACTCGCATTTTTAATTCCGTTTGGTGCAGCGAATGCTGAAATCATCATTCATGGTACTCGTGTCATCTATCCATCTGATGCACGTGAAATTACTTTACAGGTAAGTAATAACGGAAATAATCCTGCATTGGTTCAAGCATGGATTGATGAGGGAGATGCAAAATCTACTCCAGATCAATCTAAAGCGCCTTTTATGATTACACCGCCTATATCGCGTGTGGAAGCAAAAAAAGGGCAGTCTTTACGTATTACCAGTTTGCCGAATGCAAATGAGTTAAGTAAAACTCAAGAAACGCTATTTTGGTTAAATATTCTCGATATCCCACCAAAGCCTTCTGCGAAAGATCAGAATGTTGTACCAGATAACTTTTTACAACTTGCGATTCGATCGCGTATAAAGTTTTTTTATCGCCCAGCTGGACTTAAAGAAGATGTCGCTTTGGCACCTGAAAAATTACAGTGGAGCAATAACGGTACTCAGTTAACCGTAAAAAACCCAACACCATTTCATATTACCTTGACTTCTATTATGCAAGATCAATCAGGCAAACGCGTTGATTTGATTTCACAAGGTTTAATGTTGAAACCATTTTCTGATGGAACGGTGAGTTTAAAAAATTCCAATGTCGCTAAGATGACCTTTACCACAATCAATGATTATGGTGGTCGTGTAGAGCGAAATATTAAATTTTAATAGATTGATCAAGTCTTTAAATTTCTTCAATACAAGAAATTTAAAGCACCTTCGTAATGATGATTTAATCATTTCATTTATCTGAGAGTAAGCGAGTAAAAAAACCTATTCATTTGTTGATAGGCAGACTTCTTTATGCAAAAAAATGAACAAAGCTACAAGTGGATCAAGCGACATATCAGTTACTATGTGGCTTGTGGGGTTATTACGCTCAGCATTCCTGCTTTAGTTAATGCATCTGAAACTGACTTAAAAGAGGCTGAAAAGTCTCCGACTGCTGCAGAAGCAGAATTTGATTCGGCTTTTTTAATTGGCGATGCCAAAAAGATAGATGTAAATCGCTTTAAATATGGCAATCCTGTGTTACCAGGTGACTATAATGTGGATATTTATGTCAATGGTAACTGGTTTGGTAAACACCGTATGGTGTTTAAAGCAACTGAAAATAATCAAAATGCTTTTACCTGCTTTAGCTCAAACCAATTATTAGAATATGGCGTTAAAGCAGAGGTGTTAAAAAAAGGCGAAAGCTTTGCTTTGACAGGTTGTCAGAAAATCGAACAGTGGGTTGAAGATTCTTTTTATGAATTTGATACTTCACGCTTACGTGTCGATATTTCGATTCCGCAAGTTGCGATGCAAAAAAATGCGCAAGGCTATGTCGACCCAAGTGTTTGGGATCGTGGGATCAATGCTGCATTTCTTTCTTATAATGCCAGTGCATATAAAACATTTAATAAAATCCAAGGTGGGGAAGAAACCACAAATGCGTTTACTTCGGTAACCGCTGGTGCAAATTTGGCAGGTTGGCAATTGCGCCATAATGGTCAATGGCAATGGCAATGGCAAGACCGCACGACTACAGATAATCAATCTAAATCGAGTTATGATGCGATTAGCACCTATGTACAACGCGCTTTCCCGCAATACCGTGGCGTGTTGACTTTAGGTGAAAGCTTTACCGATGGTGAAATCTTTGATTCATTTGGCTATCGTGGTTTCGATTTTTCTAGTGATGACCGCATGTTACCCAACAGTATGATTGGTTATGCACCCCGTATTCGCGGAAATGCAAAAACCAATGCCAAGGTTGAAGTACGTCAGCAAGGTCAATTGATTTATCAAACAACCGTTGCACCGGGGAGTTTTGAAATCAATGACCTTTATCCGACAGGGTTTGGTGGTGAACTCGAAGTTTCTATTTTAGAAGCCAATGGTGAGATTCAACGCTATTCAATTCCTTATGCATCTGTAGTACAAATGCTACGTCCAGGAATGAGCCGTTATTCTGTGTCAATGGGTCAATTCCGCGATAAAGATATAGATCTAGATCCTTTTATTGTGCAAGGGAAGTATCAACGCGGTATTAATAACTCGATCACGGCTTATGGTGGTGTGCAGTTCTCAGAAGACTATTCAGCAGTGACATTGGGCAGTGCTTTTGCAACACCGATTGGTGCAATTGCTCTCGATGTGACGCATTCACAAGCAGATTTTGAACGTCGTAAAAGTGAAAGTGGGCAAAGTTTCCGAATTAGCTATAGTAAATTAATTACCCCAACAGATACCAATTTGACTTTGGCTGCATATCGCTATTCTACAGAAAACTTTTACAAGTTACGTGATGCGATATTGGTACAAGACCTCGACAATAAAGGTATTAGTTCAGCTCATGTAGGTAAACAGCGCAGTGAATTTCAGATCACCCTGAATCAGGGTTTACCACGTGATTTTGGCAACATTTATGCAACAGGTTCGTGGGTAGATTACTGGAATCGTCAGGAAACAACCCGTCAATATCAAGTCGGTTATAGCAACAGCTATCGTGGTTTGACTTATGGTTTGTCGGCAATTAAACGTATTGTTGAAAACAATGCCACAAGTATCAGCAATAGTGATACTGAGTATATGCTGACCATGTCTTTACCACTTTCATTTAAGAAAAGCTCAGCAAACCTTAACTCGATTATGACGCAAGATAATGCGACTGTCGGCGTGAGCGGTGTGGTTGGTGATCGTTTTAACTATGGTACATCTGTATCGACGCGCTATGGTGATAATCCGAGTGCCAATTTAAATGCTCAGTATCGCACCAACTACGCGACTGTTGGTGGATCATTCAGTGCGGCTGACGGTTATCAGCAAGCAATGTTGACTGCACGTGGTAATATTGTTGCTCATCCTGAAGGTGTCTTGTTTGGACCAGATCAGGGGCAAACCATGGTCTTGGTGTATGCACCTGAAGCTGCTGGTGCTAAAGTGAATAATGCGACAGGTTTAAGTATTAATAAATCTGGTTATGCGGTGATTCCATATGTAACACCATATCGTTTAAATGACATTACCCTTGACCCTCAAGGCATGTCGACAGATGTAGAGTTAGATGGTACAAGTCAGCGTATCGCACCCTATGCAGGTTCAATTTCACAAGTGAGTTTTGCAACGAAAATTGGTAAAGCAATTTATATTCGTAGTAAAAAACAAAATGGTGAAACTTTACCTTTTGCAGCAGAAGTATTTGATACAAAAGGTGAAAATATTGGAATGGTTGCGCAAGGTAGTATGGTTTATTTAAGAACCAATACTACAGCAGACTCGGTTACAGTGAAATGGGGCGAAAATGCCAACGAACAATGCCGAATTCAATATGATGTTTCTGCACAAGCAGCAGACAAAAAGCAAAATATGATTATGGCGGAAGGTGTATGTCAATGAACGTTAAAGTTTTAAATCGTATTCTCTTGCTCATTGCTGGGACTGTGAGTTCGGGTGCATACGCAGCTTGTGTACCTCAGCGTGGATTTACCCCGCAAGATGTAAGCATGTCTGTTGGTCGTGTTGTGGTGAGACCGAGTGATGCTGTTGGAACTATTTTACGTAAAGCGACATTTCCAATTTCATCGAATGGATCTACTTATTCTTGTGATTATTCAGCGGGCACAATTGAGGCAGTATTGCAGCAGAGATACCCTATAAGCCCATCAGGTAATTCTATCTATAGTACCAATATTGAAGGGATTGGTATTCGTCTATACCGCGAAGCGGCAGATAACTCTAACTTTTCAGGTTATTACCCTTATACCAGAAGTTTATCTCGAAATACGACTTATCGTTTATCGCCTGGATATTTTGTTGTAGAGATTGTTAAAACTGCGCCTTCCACAGGATCAGGGGCATTGGTTCCTGGACAGTATAGTCGCTATAATGTGATTGGTTATCCAAATCAGCCTTTTTTAACCAGTACAGTATATGGTAATGCGATTACTATTGCGTCTTCATCATGTGAAATCCAAGGCAATATTAATAAAACAGTGACACTGCCAACTGTAAACAAGGTTGATTTTAAAGGTGTCGGCTCAACTCAAGGTGAGCAAGCATTTGATTTGAACATCTTATGTAATGGTGGAAAAAACCCAACGGGTTATGAAGAAAGCAATAAAATTAGCCTAAGCTTTGATTATGATGCTGTGACCAATACTACAAATGTCATTACCAACAATGCTGCTGCGGGAAGTAATGCATCAGGTGTTGGCGTACAATTGCTTTCACAATATAAAAATTCGAATAAAGTGATTGCTAAAAATGACAAGCTTGAATTAGGCACGTTAAAGTCAAATGATAATATTCAATACAATGTGCCAATGACTGCGCGTTACTATCAGACTGCAACCAAAGTGATGCCCGGAAAAGTACGAGCTATGGCAACCGTCACAATTGAATATGATTAATTGACGTAAATCATATTTTTTAAAATTATTTTTTTATTTATTGCTTGGAAAATCTTGTATTAATAATAAGGTTATGTAATTAATTAACTACACCATTTCTTTAGAGGGGAATGAGATGGAGTTAAATAAAAAACTATCCTTTTTATTAATAACATTTACAACGATATCGAGTTTAAGTTTAGCCACTTATGCAGAGGAGATTCATTTTCAAGGGCAGATTGTAGAATTTACATGTGAAAAGAATTCTAATAATTCTAATTGCAAAGCGATTGATAATACGATTGATGTGTTGAGAAAAACCACCACAATAGATAGCTTTAATTTCAATAGCTTAGTTGATAAAAAAGCCAATAGCATGGCCCATTTAAAAATTCAAGATTTGGAAAGTGACCAGCATAAAATATTGGTGGTAGATTATTATTAAGCCAATTAATTTGTGAAATAAATAACATAAATTAAAAGTTATGTTGTGTGATAAGTTAAAATATAATCTGATTATTTTGGTTGGATTATATTTTAATTCGTATTAAAAATAATCGAATTTTTAAACTGTTTTTAAATTTTTGTATATTATTTTATCGGTTGAACGGTTTTCTTTAATATATCCATAAAGGTTTTTAAGATAATATTATAGTTTTTTCCTTTATGTGTAATCAGACATATCGGTGTACTATAATGCATTCTCTCTTGTAAAATCGGTTGCATCAAACCATCTTGGACCCATTTTTTCGCATAATGATCGGGTAAAAACCCCATAAATTTTCCTGAAAGAATCAGAAATGCGATACCTTCTCTGTCACTTGCAGTCGCTGAACAGTTCAATCGTTGATGCAACTTCATTGCATCGGGGGTAATGGCATAATTCGGAAGAACCGTATTGCATTGTTTTAAGTCATCTAAACTTATTTCACCTAAATGCTGAAAGAGTGGGTGGTTTTGCCCACAATAGAGTGAAGATTCTTCGTTATATAAATGAAAATAATCTAGACCTGATAATGGGCTCACCAAAGGAATCGCGCCAGCGTGTAATCGATTGTCCAAAACACGACACTCAATATCTGACAGTGTGCTCATACTAATATTAATAACCACCTCAGTATTTTCTTCCGCAAGCTGTGCCAATGTGTTGGTGATATAAGCACTGGGCATTGTGACTAAGTTATTAATAATACCAATATTAAATTCACCTTTGAGCTGATTATGCATTTGATTGATTTTGGCACGGAAGTCCTCAATCGAAGCCGTTAGTACCTCAATATATTCTAAAACTTCCCGACCTTCATCAGTGATGGAAAAGCCTGCTCGACCGCGCTGACAGAGGCGAATCCCTAAGCGATTTTCCAGATCACTCATATGCAAACTAATCGCAGAACGACTAATCCCTAGGATACTTTCGGCAGCAGTGAAGCTGTGACAATCACAAACTGTTTTAAATATTTTAAGTAATTTTATATCAAAATCAGTAACTTGATTTAATTTTTTAGGTTTCATTTAGTTTTACTTTTTTATATCTAAACTCAAGATATTTTGAATTTATCAAAACTATTGTGCTTTGTACACTCAAGAGATAACCACAAAACAAGAAGAGTACTTATGTTTGATATCGATACATCAAATGACCGCGATGACACATTGGAAGCCAGTCAGTCAAATGAGCAGATGAATTTAAATTATCAAGCCCATTGGATGCCATTTTCTGCAAATCGTAATTTTCATAAAGATCCACGCATGATCGTGGGTGCAAAAGGATCGTATTTAATTGACAGTACTGGACGTGAGATTTATGACTCATTGTCAGGGCTATGGACGTGTGGTGCAGGGCATACACGACCTGAAATCCAACAGGCTGTGAGTAAGCAATTGGCAAAACTGGACTATTCACCTGCATTCCAATTTGGACATCCTTTATCTTTTCAATTGGCTGAAAAAATTGTTCAGCTGATGCCTGAAAAACTGCAACATGTCTTTTTTACCGATTCAGGTTCTGAATCTGCGGACACTGCGATCAAGATGGCACGCGCATATTGGCGCATTCAAGGTAAACCAAGCAAAACCAAATTGATTGGACGAGCGCGTGGCTATCATGGTGTAAACGTCGCAGGGACCAGTCTAGGCGGTATTGGCGGAAATCGTAAAATGTTTGGTCAATTGATGGATGTGGATCATTTGCCTCATACCTTACAGGCGCATTTAAGTTTTAGCAAAGGCTGTGCTGAAACGGGTGGGGTTGAGCTGGCAGATGAAATGCTCAAGCTGATTGAATTACATGATGCTTCTAATATTGCAGCAGTAATAATAGAACCTGTTTCTGGTTCAGCAGGCTGTATCGTGCCACCAGTTGGTTATTTACAACGCCTACGAGAAATTTGTGACCAACACGATATTTTACTGATTTTCGATGAGGTGATCACTGGCTTTGGGCGTATCGGCAAATGGACTGCGGCTGAACATTTTGGAGTTACACCAGACCTTTTGACCTTTGCTAAACAGATTAGCAATGGCGCAATTCCATTAGGTGGGGTGGTGGCAAGCCGTGAAATTTACAATGCATTTATGCAGCAAGACCTGCCTGAACATGCCATTGAATTTACCCATGGTTATACCTATTCGGCCCATCCTGTTGCCTGTGCCGCTGCTCTCGCCACCTTAAATGTACTCGAAAATGAAAATTTAATTTCCCAATCTGCTGGCTTGGCACCAAGCTTTGAAAAGCTTGTTCATGAATTAAAAGGTTCACCACATATTGTTGACATCCGTAACTGTGGATTGATTGGTGCCTTGCAATTGGCTCCACGTGATGGTGATGCCACGATTCGTGGTTTTGAAATTGGAATGAAACTGTGGAAAGCAGGTTTCTATGTGCGTTTTGGTGGGGATACCCTTCAGTTTGGCCCAATGTTTAACAGCACAGAAGCGCAATTAAGCAGCTTGATGAATGCAGTAGGTGAGGCACTTTATCAGGTGAAATAAATAGGGTGTGCCTCTAAGCAAATCAATACGGAACAGCTAGACAATAGACAAGGAAAAGTAATGAACAATTTAGAAAATTTTAGTGGTGGCGAGCTGTCTAATACCGAAACAGTTGAAGCAGTACAACCGATCACGCTGGTTGGGCATTTTATTCAAGGGGGACTGGTAAACAAGACCTCAAGAACACAAGCTGTATACCATCCAGCAACAGGCAAGATCAGCAAAGAAGTTGCGCTTGCCGATACTGCATTGGTCAATCAGGTGGTTCAAATTGCACAACAGGCTTTTCCAGCATGGCGTGACACCCCTGTGATTAAACGTGCACGAGTGATGTTTAAGTTTAAACAACTGCTAGAAGACAATGCTGAAAAACTTTGTGAGTTGATTGGACAAGAACATGGAAAAATTTGTCATGATGCACAGGGCGAGTTACAACGCGGAATTGAAAATGTTGAGTATGCATGTGGTGCACCTGAGTTTTTAAAAGGTGAATACTCAAAAAATGTTGGCCCAGATATTGATTCATGGAGCGAATTTCAACCTTTAGGCGTGGTTGCTGGGATTACACCATTTAATTTTCCAGCGATGGTTCCATTGTGGATGTTTCCAATGGCGATTGTTTGCGGGAACTGCTTTATTTTAAAACCCTCTGAAAAAACCCCATCAGCAGCATTATATTTGGCAGAATTACTTCAACAGGCAGGTTTACCCGATGGTGTGTTTAACGTCATCAATGGTGATAAACAAGCAGTGGATGCCTTATTACATCATCCAAATATTCAAGCGATTAGCTTTGTTGGTTCAACCCCGATTGCTGAATATATTTATCGCACAGCAACCTCGGCAGGCAAACGCTGTCAGGCCTTAGGTGGCGCAAAAAATCATGCCATTATTATGCCTGATGCAGATATCGATAATGTGGTGAACTCATTATTAGGTGCAGCTTTTGGTTCATCTGGTGAACGCTGTATGGCTTTGTCTGTTGCAGTGGCAATTGGCGATGAAATTGCTGATCTGGTGATTGAAAAACTTAGCCAAGAAATGCAACAACTCAAGTTTGGTCATTATGCAAATCAACAAAATGACTTTGGACCGCTCATTTCTCAAGCACATAAAGATAAAGTTCAAGCTTTTATCCAAAGTGCTGAACAGCAAGGTGCTAAAATTGTTGTCGATGGTCGTGATGCCAAACCTATCGGCTATGAAACTGGATTTTTTGTTGGCCCGACGCTAATTGATCAGGTTTCATCAGACATGACCAGTTATCAGCAAGAAATTTTTGGTCCTGTTTTACAGGTGATTCGTGTAGAAACCATGCAACAAGCGATGCAGTTAATCAATGATCATGAGTATGGAAATGGTACCTGTATTTATACCCGTGATGGGGAAGCCGCACGCTATTTTACCCATCATATCCAAGTGGGAATGGTCGGTGTAAATGTGCCATTGCCCGTACCTGTTGCATATCATAGTTTTGGTGGCTGGAAGCGTTCGTTATTTGGTGACTTGTATGCTTATGGGCCAGATGGAGTACGTTTTTATACGCGCCGTAAAACCATTACCCAACGTTGGCCAGCTACACACGTTCGTGAAGCCAAGCAGTTTTCAATGCCTACTTTAAATTAATTTTTTGTGTATAGAGGGAAGATCATCGATTTTCTCTCTTTTGAATAAGGATTTAATAATGTAAATCACGATTTTAAAAGTATTTTTAAGGAATAAAATATGAATGGTGTTAAAACAACAAAATTAGGTGAAGGACTTTCCAACCGACATATCACGATGATTAGTATCGGTGGCGTTATTGGTGCAGGTTTATTTGTCGGCTCTTCAGCTGCAATTGCCAAAGCAGGTCCTGCGGCTGTACTGGCTTATATTATTACCAGTATTATCGTTTTTCTGGTGATGCGTATGCTCGGTGAAATGGCCGTTGCACAACCAGATACAGGTTCATTTTCCACTTATGCGCGTAAAGCAATTGGGCCTTGGGCAGGCTTTACTGTGGGCTGGTTGTATTGGTGGTTTTGGGTTTTAGTGATTCCCATCGAAGCAATTGCTGGTGCGGAAATTTTACATGCGTGGTTTCCTCAAGTTTCTAGTGCTATTTATGCTTTTGCTTTTATTATTTTACTCAGTTTAGCCAATTTCTTTAGTACTAAAAGTTTTGGTGAGTTTGAGTTTTGGTTTGCTTTAATTAAAGTGGTTGCGATACTGCTGTTTATTGTGATTGGTGCATCGGCTGTATTTGGGCTTTGGCCTTTGGCTCGTGATGTTAGTGGTGTGGGGCATTTATTTTCAAATGGCGGTTTTATGCCGCATGGCATGGGTGGCGTTCTTTCGGCTATTTTAATTTCAGCATTTTCATTTTTTGGTGTTGAAATTCTGTCGATTGCAGCGGCAGAGTCTAAAAATCCACAAGAGAAAATTAAACGTGCCACCAATTTAGTGCTGTATCGTATTATTTTATTCTTTGTTGTTTCGATTTTTCTAGCAGTGGCTTTAGTCGATTGGCGTTCGCCTGATTTACAAAAATTAGGGACATTTCAGTATGTCTTGGTCAGCCTCAATGTGCCGCAAACCAAATTGATTATGGACATGGTGGTGTTTATCGCGGTGGCAAGTTGTATGAATGCGGCTGTATATACTTCTTCACGGATGCTGTTTGCATTGGGTGCACGTCAAGAAGCGCCGAAAGTTGTGACTAAAATTAATGATGCAGGTGTACCAACGATCGCAGTGTTTGCTTCAACCTTTGTTGGACTGATTTGTTGCGCCGTGAATTATATGTTCCCAGGGCAAGTTTTTGGATTTTTACTTTCAACAACGGGTTCAATTGCCTTGGTGGTTTATTTAGTCATTGCTGTGTCACAACTACGCTCAAGAGCTAAACTGGAAAGAATAGGCGCTCAAGTGACCTTTAAAATGTGGTTATTTCCTTGGCTGACGTGGTTTGTCATCGTGGTGATTATGAGTGTATTGGGCTATATGTTTTTATCGCCTCAATATAGTTATGAAACGACTTTGTCCTTAGGGGTAACTTCCATTGTGGTGATTTGTGGTCTGATGGTGACACGCAAGAATAAAACCGCGAAGCGTATGGCCGTCCATTTGGATTAAATCATCATTGAACAGCGCAGAACAAGCAGCAAACTTTGTAGGTTAAGGGTAAAACCAACAATACAAAGTTTGTTTTTTATGTATGGGCTTTTGCTTTCATCATGCCAGTCTATAAAAAGAAAACAATAACTTAAGTTGGATGTTCTAGGTTATTTGAGCGAGATTTGGTTTATTTTAGCTGAGTTGAACATCATGTGTACTGAGCTCAGTTTCAAAGCTTTCATTTACAGTATGCTTTTCATTTACATCTAATTTTTTATTGATATTTTCCTTTCTCCACGTAGAAGGAGAAACGCCGTTCCAAGCTTTAAAAGCACGATTAAATGAGGTTTGGTCCTTATAGGCAAGTAAAAAGGCAACTTTTGTGATGGATAAGTTTTGATTTTGGAGATATTTCTTGGCTAGATTTTGACGAATATTACTGAGGATTTCTTTAAATGAAAGGTCTCTATTTTTTAAATATTTTTGCAGTGCTCTCGCAGAAATATTTAATGATTTGGCAATAGAGTGAATTTGCACATTATTATTTTCAAGTGCTTGTAGCATACTCAGATTAACCAATTCTAAGAAAGAATCCTCCTGAGGCATTTTACTGAGTAATATGTTGGCATGATTCAACAATATTTCTAAAAGAATAGGGTCATAATATTTTAATTTGGTTTCCAATAGCGAATTCGGTATGACAATCCGAGTTTGCTTTGTATTAAATTTAATCGGGCAATTGAACAGTTGTTGGTATTTTTTTGTGTCATTGGGTTTGGGTATGGCAAGTTCTAGACAATGAAAAACACTTGCATCTGAATCGGTCAGTTGTTGTAAGTGGTGAAAAAGGCTAGACACTTGTATTTCTTCAACGATGGTGGTTTCTTCTAGATATAAACCCACTTGTAAATATGCAGGTTTATCCCATGAGATTGAAAAGTGGTTTTCCTCAATAAGCACTTTTTTGGGAATATAATTAAACCAAAGCTTTTCGTATTGAGACAGTATTTCAATATAATCAAATAATGTATCACTCGACTGAGCCATATAAGCCACGATGCCGATATGTTTGGGCTGAACCAAAGCACCGATGTCTAATCCAATACCCACTTGGGGATATTGTTTGTTGATTTGTTTTATTCTTTTGAGCCATTCGCCAAACGGTAGGTGATCATTGAGTGGATATTCAGCATCGCTTGAAACATCTAAGCCTTTTTTTTTACAGAAATCGTCTAATAAAAGTGCCATTCCTTTATTAACACTTTTTATTTTAAAAAAAGTTTTCATGAATTCTCCCAATATTCATTTGATGTTTCTGTGTATTTATTTTTTATTTAAAGTAATCAAAGATTTGTCGTTATGTGTGAGGTCTTCATTTTTCTTTAAAGCAATGTGGGAATTTGAATGATGAAAATAGATAAAGTCCTCCGCTATTTTTTATGCCATTCAAATGAAAAGGATGAGTTCCTAACCCTGTGCTTTAAAAAGTTTGAATACTCAATCGTATTAACCGTTAATAATAAATCGTGATATATGCTCAATCATATTGAATAGAAAACTGAGCATTTGCATTTGCAATCCCTGCGAGGGCTTGTGCTTTGGTCACGATATAATTTGCATAAAAGAGAGCCGAAACATTGCCATTGATGTCTGTGCTAAAAGCTTCGCTTTTCTTGCCTAAAGGCAATCTTTTTTTATCTTGATCTCGGATTTCTATGGCAATATTTTCAGCTTTATTGGCTAAGGCATCGAGCGCTAAAAGTTCAGCATTTTCGTTATTTCGAGGCCCTTCAAAAGTGATGGTCACAGATCCATTCGGCGGACAGTTACTCATCTCAAAATGAATCGGGGTTGGTTTTGATTGACTACCAATATTGGGTAAGTCTTTGCTTGCAACGCTTCCAAGCTGAATATATTTATCTTGTTCAGAACTTAATACGCCACAGGTTGCTGTCGTCACGATTCCTGAAAGCTCAATATTCACCCGACCTAGCTCTACATTGGTATTTTGAGCATGAGAGAGCTGATGAATATTTAAACAACATATTATTGTGGCAGCAGCCATATATCTTGCTCTATTTTTCATTGTTGTCTCCTAATCAAAATCCACTCTGAGATATCCTCTAGACTTAAACGGACCAATTTCTGGTTTATTTCCAGTGATACTGACGGGCCAAGCTTTGATGGTCACATTTGCTGGCTGTTGTTTAAGATTAAATGGAATCACACTATTGATATTATTGGGCAACAACACATTGTCATTTTGATCTGACATCTTAAAGCCAATATCTGGATTATCTGAGATCATCATATCTCCAGTGGCTTTTTCAGCCTCAAGCCGAAGTGTCAGCATTGCTTGGGCATCAATATTGGTACATTGAATCGCTAAGGTATGACTCTGTTTATTGACATTGTTGGGTTTATTGCCAGGACCCGCCTGACTAAAGGCATAGGCTGGGATTTCCCCAAACTTAATTTCTAAAAAGTCACCTGTGCCAATTTTGCAGCTTTGTGGAACCGAAATAGAACCGCTGTAACTGATCTTATAAACAGGGATACTTAATGGATCTGCTGAACCCGTTGTCACATAAACGGTAAACATGGTTTTTTTCGGGATAGGCACAAAATCAATAAAGGGTTTAATCACCTTGAGGCGGAAGGTAAAGTTTGAATCCCAAATACCAAAGGGTTGGCCTTTACTTACATTGGGATCTGTACCCATCTGTACATAATTTGCAGGAGGATAAAAATCCCCCGCAAAGCTATCGGTAATTTTCATGGCACCGACCAGATAGTCGTTGATCGGTAAGTATTTATATCGATCAATCGTTTCTATCACAGAGAGGTCGGAAACATAACTACGCATGGTTCTATTTCGACTAATATTGGAATTATGAGCCGGGCAAGTTCCATAAACTTGCGAAGAAAAATTCTTTTTAAGCTCTACAATTTTACCTACAGCATTATTCGAGCTGCTGAAACTATTGGATAGATCATAAAAAACGTCATCCACCACACCATTCCCTTTACTGTTCCAACAGACAACTGCAAAAGATGGGGCTGAAGCAAGCAGCAACATACTGGAAATTAAAAGCTTAAATTTCATATGATCTCTCCTTATTGACATTCAAGATCAAATTGAATAACGGGTTTGCTGAGGTCCATGTCTGAAATATCGTAGTTTGCCAAACATTTTCCTTCAGCAGATTCGCCCCAATTCACTTCCAGAGTACCTTTGAGCGGAAGCCCAGTTAAATAAACCCGGCCATCGTCTGCAACGATGCTGGTGGCTGAACTTTCCTTTTCGATCACACTACTTGCATACGGTATAAACTTGCCGTTATGGGATAAGGTGATGAGTGCTCGTACACCTAAACTGGTGTTAAACGTTGCTCTGGCAATTGCCCCTTTGATTGGGACGACATTTTCAACGTTATTGCTGATTTCGAGATTATTACTGAAAGTATTTGAATTGAGTGCAACACGATTGGCACGATACTCAGTGGCATAAGGAACGATGGCATATCCACGCCAATCGGTTTTAACGCCGGTATAGTTTTCGATATTTACACCTTTGGCGCCGGGTGCTTTAACCAAAATTGAGGTGCTACCTAAAGGCTGACCAAAGGTAATACCATCACGGTGCGCTAAAATACCGCCAGATGCGTTATAGGTAAATTGATTTGAGTTCTTTTCGTAGCTATAACCTGCACCTACCGTACCGTAACTACCATTGTAATTTAGGCTGACTGAACCAATATCACCTTGCTTACTGACTTGTCCCTGATTGATGCTATAACTTAAATTACGATCTTTCAGTAAAGTGCCACTTAAACCTGCCATATAGGACTCATTACCGTTTGAATTTTGTGTGGTCGAAAAAGTGCTATATGCATTTTGGATTGGATGATTGCGGAAATTCGCTTTCGGCCATAGCTTGTCCAATGGGAAGGACAGATTCATGGCATACATGGTGTCACTTTGATTAATCTCAGAATATTTGTTACGACTGACTGAGAATGAATAATTCAGTGCTTTCCATGAGTTTGCATAACCCGCTTGAACCCATTCATTTTTTTTGTTGGTATCCCAATAGGTTTGCTGATTGCCTGAGACAAATAAAGAACCATAGTTTCCAAGTGAATGCGAGATATTGACTTCAAAGCGACCTTTTTTAGAATTATATAAGTTGTAGTAATCCGTAATGATTGGTGTATTGGCTTGATTTCCGTCTTGAGTTTCGGAAACGTGATAACCACTCATACGATTATAAGCAACATCATTTAAGGTATAGAAACCTTTGGTCGAATATCGATAGCCCAATAACTGGAAAGTTGTTCCAGAGCTTAATAATGATTTTGAATATAAAAAGCGCAAAGACTGTCCACTGCTCGAGGATTGATCTGCCAACTCACTGTCCGCATGGGTAAGGTCAAAAGACAAAGCCCCATAATCTCCTAGGTTGGCGCCTAGACCCACCAATGCACTCTTATATTTATCTGACAATTGCGTCCCAGCATAAACGGAAATACCATTTTTTAAACCGTGAATTGCAGTTGCCTGTAACAATGATGGATTATCTTGAGAATCCAATCCACTACGGTACTCACCAATCACCAGACTGTATTTTGTGCGTCCTTCACGTTGTAAAACAGGAAGGCTTGAATAGGGCACTTGAAAGCTTTGAATCGAACCGTCATTTTCTTCAATCGTAACCAAAAGGTCACCACTGATTGAGGTTGGATTTAAATCTTGGATAAGGAATGGTCCGGGTGCGACATTTACCTGATGAATCACAAAACCATTTTGTTTGATCACCACTTTTGCATTGGTTTTTGCAACCCCACGAACAGTAGGTGCATAGCCTTGCTGACTGTCAGGATACATTGCCTCAGAAGTCGACAAATGTGCGCCACGGAAACCAAAGCTGTCAAAAATTTCGCTACTTGTTGAACCGTCACCAATTACCAGCTGGCTTTTTAAAGGAATAATGGTTTTTTGTACATAGGTATTTAAATTATTCCATTGATTTGTGGTTTTACCGTTGTGTGAATTGGCGTTAAAACTGCCTGAATGTCGGAACTGCCATGAGCCAATATTGAGTCCATTATCCAGACGTAAAAATAAACTGTTGGTATCTGTTTTAGAGTTGTCATAACCCGAAATATTATAGTTGGTATAAAAACCGTTGATCCCTTCATCCCATTGATCGGGTGGAATATAGCCGCGAATTTGGTTGCGTAAAGACGCTTGCGGTAAACTGATCAATAATTTTTGTTTATCAAATTGAAAGTGGCTGTTTGCACCTTCAATAATTGAAATAAAATCCACACATTGTGGGTTGGAGCTAGACAATTGCTCGTATTGGGCAATATTGACTCCAAATCCTTGCAATGTTTTGCTGTCTAAACACGGAAATAAACCAGTCGTATCTTGAATGCCTGATTTTTCAATAAAATTGATGTCGCGGGTAAACGCATATTGATCGTTGACATACACATCAACCCGGTAAACACCAGGCAATTGATGGGTCGATTTCTCAAATCTGCTCAAATCAGAAATTTGTGAATTGGATAAGTTATCTGTTAAAAATGCAGGGTTAAACACCTGTTCTGCATGACTGGTTCTTGGGACTACGATTGAAATCAGCATAGTCACTGCGATACCCACTGGATATCGCTTGATATTTCTCCTTACGCATACAACATTGTATGGCATTGAAAATAGACTATTCATAATTATTACTTCAGTTCTAAATCAACTTTAGCCGTTAAACCACCGTAATCATTGACCGTTTGATAACTCAGCTTATTGCCTGAAGTCGCTGAAATTTTTGTTTGGGCAAATGGACTTGCCATCACATTTGGCACTTTTTGGTTATCAACAAAAACGTTCACAAAAGAAACATGATATGGAGATGGATTATTCACCATGATTCCTTCTGCTGATTTTGAAAACTTAAGTGTTTCTAATGCGGCTTCAGGTTTAGTTTTTAGATTTATCGGTCTTACAAACAGTTTGATTCGAGATAAAACAGCAAGTTGCAAAATATTTTTGTCAATCAAAGTCGATTTATCAATCGAAGGAATTGCTTTGACATTGACCCAAAATACCGACTCTCTATCTTGTGGTAAGTTGGTAGCAACATTGACAATTCTTAATGTATTTTCGCTATTTGCTTCTGCGACAAATAAGGGAGGAGTAATCAGAAAATCTTTTGATTTTTCATCTAGATTATTTTCAATCCACGAGTTAATTAAAAAGCGTTCTTTATTGTTGCTGTTGACAATCGCTAATGAAACTTGCTTGGCATCGGTTGGGTAAATAACACGAGTTGCCCCAAGTGATATACCCCCAATAATATTGTTATTGGCTAAGCTGGTGGATGCTAAGCAGGCTAAGGTTATACTAAGAACGCCATTTTTAAATAAGTTCAGTTTCATATAAGTCCTTAGAATTCATTTATGGATAAAAAACAGAAATTAAAATATTCGATGCTTGAGCGGATGGCTTTTCTGAGGTTTGCTTGAGGAGAATACCAATCCTATTTTTAGCGAAACTGTCATAACGTTCAGGTCGATCAATTTGTCGAATAAATTTCTGATCCAGACGGGTCTGTTCAAAATCTTGAATGTTTAATTCTTTATTAATATCAAAATCATTTCTTGCTTTTGGATCTGTATAAAACATCTCATGGGTTGGTTTATTTTGTTCAGATAGACCAATGGCGAGATTGTCGTAGATGCTTACAGGGCATAATGAAAAATTGATTTGAATTGGAGAATTGGGAGTTTTAATAGATACAGCAGCATTATTCTCAATCAAGATTGAGCAGCTTTGATTTATCAAAACTCCCTGAAAATGAGCTCTTCCACCAAATACATAACTTTCTGCGTAAATATGAGTACTTACTAATATTCCAACAATCAGGGTTATATACTTTTTCATGGTAAATAAGCTCATGTAATCAAATATTTAATAATTATCTTAAGTAGATAAATTATTCATATTTCACTACAAAAGTTGCATCAGCATTTGCTTGACCTGGTGTAGATGCACCAGTCGCAACATAACGAGCGCTGAATTGAAGTGTGTTATCACCAGTGATCAATGTTTTAGGTGTAGAGAAACTAGCACCAGTAACACCTAAGATTTTTGAAGTGTCATCAGCAATCTCAATCCCTACATTTGTTGCAGCAGTAGAGTTTGTACCACCAGCAGCAACTGAAAGTAAGTTTGCATTAGACGTTACAGACTGACCATAAAATGCAACAGCAGCAGTTGCTTGAACTGTTGGATCACAGTCAACAAGTTTGATTTGGAACGGTACTGGAGTTGTTTTATCGCCAGCAACAGCTAAACGTGCAGTACGGTATTGACCTAAATCAACAGTTTGATTTGAAGATTCTGTACTTACAGCACATGCTGCATTTACGATTTCACCAGTAAAATGTACTGTTCCACCGTTAACAGTTACAGGATCAGCAGCGAAAGCTGAAACAGAAAGCGTTAAAGCAGATAATGTTGCAGTACTTAATAGAGCTAATTTCATAGTAAAACCCATTCATTTTAGAAGGTTGATTTTTAATATTTATTTAAAATCATTTTTTATGATTTCAATAAATTACACTTAGTCGCACTGTTTAATAAAATAGTAATGTACTTAAATAAATGCAGGGTTATAGTGACGCACATCACAATAGATAACTTTGTATTTTGTGCATAATTAATTTGTATTTGACGCCCTTATCTTTTTTTATGAAAAGTATATGAATTAATGTGATTAATCTGAGGACTTGTTTTTAGCTGTGCTGTGTAGCGTGTTGTTGCTTATTATTGATATACATTGGTACGGTTTTTTATCAAAAACGCTCATTGCATTTGTAGATACACTTTTGAGTTAGAATTATTTTTCTATTTAATATTAATCGCAAGGGGAAATAGATTGTTTGATTATCAAGAGCTTGTGATGCCATAGCTTACATTCAAAGTTTAAATACCTTTGCGTAGGCAATGCTTCACTTTTCGTATAGGGGATGCCAAACCTTGCGCTATCACAACAGCAATTAAAACTAGACGATTTATACAACGGTTGATTGTGTATAGCGCTTTATTTTTTTATTTGAGATGGTATTCCAATTTGCGCAGCCAAAGGCGAGAAAATCACTTTAATTGGAGAGTTAGCCTGACTTTGCTGTACATCAGGCCCTATATAATTCTTGCCTTGAGATGTTGCAAAACTACGATGCCACGCACTAAGTTCAGTGTCTGACAGCCACGCTATATGCAAAGCATTATCCTTTGCGCCAAAGTCGATGGTTCTTACATCGAATTGCGCCAAAGCATGAATAAATGAACGACATTTTTCAGTTTCACCTTTTTTCAGAACTGAAATCTGAACTTGGGTTGCGCCACCAAACATTACATCATTGGCTCGGCACTGAAGAACTTCCACATGAAAACGTCCATCAGGAGAGGGCAGATCTCTTATCAGCTTATTTACCGTGCTGGATTGGCATGCTGTTAATACGATGGGCAATATCAGTAAAGTACATATCCTTGTCAGTTTCATTTTATTCCTTGCTATGTAAATACATTACGATTTTTGTTTTATCGCTTTATTCAAATCGGTCAGTCTGCTTTTAGCCAATACATGGAATGCTTCAGTTGAATTGTTTTCACAACTTCGGCGGGTCATCATATCGTGTTGCATGTTTACTGGCGATTTAATTAAGGATGATGTGGTTAAGTTTATCTGTATTTTGCTGTTTTAAAACATGTTTTTGTATTGATTTTTCACATGATTTAATTGTTTGTGTTTAGCTGCTCTGCATTTAATCTTAATGGGAATGCTTAGAGAAAATTTAATGAATAAAAATGACTTGCAGAAAAAAGTTGTAGAAGTTTTAATCTAAGTTTGAACGTTAGATAAAATATTAACATTCCATCAATCAGAAAATTGATCATATATTGTTTGTTATTTTGGATAGTAATCATTCAATTTGTTAATGATTATTGGCCATGAGGGCTTTTATTATGTTTAAAACATTCACGATCACAGAGCAACACTATTTTAAACAATTCATGGGGATTGCAAACACGCTTGTGTTGGCGTTTGTTGTTTTGATGTGGTCAGGCCATGTGGCCGCAGAGGGCAATTGTCCTCCTGGTTATTATCCAATTGGTGGGCAAGGCCTGCAAGGGTGTGCACCGATTCCAAGTGGCGGTAGTAATGGTGGTGGCGGTGGTGGCACATATAAATGGGAACCCTCACTTTGGGAAAAACGTTGGGGCGCGATTGCTGAAGATAAGGCAGCACCTTCTCGACCTACAGGTTATGCCCAAGCGACACGAACCGAACGTGGGGCTAAAAAAATAGCCTTGGAAAATTGCCAAAAAAAGGGAGGTAAAAATTGTGAAGTCATCTTTACCTATAACAATAAATGTGTTGCCTTGGCTGATCCGACTCAAGGTGGTCAAGAGTCTGTGATTAGAATTGATCGTACGCCCGCAGGCGCCAAAGCATTAGCTGCTTATGAATGTCAAAGTAAAAACAAGCAAGAGTGTAAAGTGGTTTACTCAGCATGTAGTACTTATTACGAGCCGGGCGCCAGTATATTTTATTGGTGGTAATACATAGGGTTCTGCTTTAAGTCACATCGCCTATTGTGATAAACCCGAGATAAGTATTTGAAGTAAAATATATTTAAATAAAAGATCGGATCTTTTTAAAGGATAAAAATGATGAAAGCGGTTAATTTTTTACTGGGCAGTATTTTAGCTTTGCCCTTGTTTGCACATGCAGATGCCTTGAAACTGCAAAAAAGCACACAGGAATTTGATCAATATCGTGGTCAAATTACAGTAAATGGAGAATATTCATATTATTTTGATGATGAAGTGGCAGGTGATGTTATCTGTTTTCATCCCAGTGCGCCTTCAGATCAGTTGATACCGCGTAAGCCGGATGATCGCCGTTCACGCTGGTTTTGTTTCAATGATACTCAACAGGCAGCTCAGGCATTAAAACTCAATAAAAGACCCAAGGAAGACTATATTGGCTATACGGGACATGCAACTGTAACGGTTGGAGAATATGCGGTTTATAAGGGCGAAAGTGATGGTACTGACCTGGCAAAATTGGTATCAGTTCAAAAAGCCGATACCCCTAAACTGGTTAAAAGCTCAGGTTATTAAAGCGCATTGTTATCGCGATGTTAAATTAAATACATATTTAAAGTTTAAAGGAAATAAATCATGAAAATCTTTAGTTTTTTATTGGCGGGTATGCTGGTCACGCCAATTGTTGCACAGGCAAAAACACCACAACAATGGGCTGACTGTGCCGATAAGGTTGGGCGTACTATCGATGTGCAAGAAGTTGGTAATATCGGCTATGAGTCAGAAATCAAAAGCAAGTGCGGTACACGTCCTGTTTCAACAACGGGTATGGCGAAACCAGATGGTAAACACCCGCATGACGTCATACAGGCAGCACCTTGGAAAGCCCGTTTTCAGCAATTAGTTGGTAAATCATATGCAAATATCACTTCAGCTTTAGTGGTATCCAGTGCAATGCAGCGTCAGGGTGATTGGCTGGTAGGCAGTGGTTATGACCCACGTGGGGCGGGTGCAAGTAAGGCTGTCATTGCGATCAATACCAAAACAGGTAAAGTCATGGCGGCTTATTCCGATACTGAA